CTTTTTGTGTTTTTTCGTGATTTGCGTAAGTATAAGGAGCTCTTCGGTTATTGAAGGAGGCTTGAATTGTCCTTTCTCCTCGCCTCTCAGTCTACTTCGCCTCTTGTGCACGCTACAATTTTTACTTGCGAAGCGTGAGTAAAATGAAAGGGTGTGAAACGTGATCGCATTTGTACAATCGGTATTTTCTTTGACCGTTCTCTAAATCAGTAGAGGCCATCACATCTTCGCTAGCATTTTTTTTTATACTTACAATGCTCAAAAACATATTCTTATTCCACCAAGGATTGTTGAAGCTGAACTTGATAACATTGCATCGCGCGGAAAAATTTTGCAAAAAATACTTTTGTAACTAATTACAAAAAAAAATAATCTTTTTCCAACTTTTTATCTCCTTCGACAGGAATTAAAAGATATTCGAGATATTAAAAGAACGTCTTCGGATAATAAAATGCAATAAGTTGAAGAAATGATCACGAATCCAAGAGAAAAATAAAAGCAGAAAAGGTACGTGAAAAGCGAGAGAGATGAGCAGCTCTGGCAGGGTAAAGGAGCGTGATATATTGATCGAATAGGTTAAATGCCGACTCGCGTGCAATATGCCTGCTCTTTCCTGGCAGTCTATTTTCTCCTTATAATTCAGGTAGATTACTCGCTTCCAAGAGCCGCGGTGTAAACGGAAATATCACCGCTACCTTTAGACACGCACTTTACGTTATGCATCATGCGAACGTGTTTGTTATCGAGAGAGAAGAGGAAAAAAATCGCGATCCGGAAAAGAACGGAGATTACAAGGAACGTAAAGAACGTAAACATGTAGTTCACGTGCTTGCTGTATTACAGCTTGCACAATTAGATCAATCTACATTGTTTTGTGCTGCGCGAGTATCTTAACAAACATGCAAACAAGATAATTACCCAAGATCCATCACGTCACATATCAATCATGTTGAAATTCGTTCGGAGCCTTCAGAAGTTAGCGTCGAAATGTGTCGAGCTATCGACGCATTTTTTTATCTCTCGGTTAATTAGTTTGCTGCCGTGCTGATGAAATATTAGCAAATTAAAAAGTCGAACTGAGCAAACATGAAAGCGACAGAAAATAATTTCTTCTTCCGCAATGCCGCGAAACAATCTTAATGAATTATTAGCCAGTCCCTATGCTACTGCTAAGTGGGCTAGATGAGCACACGTGCCTGTACCTAAATACTAGCCGAGCTACTTTATCGATCCGACGAGTGTGGGACGTAGTATCACGTGCTTCTTTAACTATAACCAAGTGGTCTTTTTCCTTCGCGGCGTTAATCTCATTATCGTGAAAAGTTGTTTTTCTCCCGCAGAAAATATTTTATATTAAATTGCTTCCAAGAGAGTTTCATTAGTCTTATTATAAATATTCATTAAGCTTGAATAGGAATACTGTGTTTCATCGTTTAAATGCGAAAGCTATCATTCTTAATTACCGCGATGCAAACGTCGTAAAATTAGCTCATCATAACGAGCGTTCTGAGATCCCACGATGACAAACGAAAGAAATACAAGAGACACATCTATAATTACGTGCTTTGCGTCTCTTTGGCACGAAGTTCCGTATAATTAATGGTAGTATGATTCGAAATCCATCGGGCAAAGATTAGATGAGAGAGAGAGAGAGAGAGAGAGAGAGTCTCCTGGGCAAGAACCGCTGGGTCGAAAGAGAATATCGAACGATAAAGAAGAAGGCAAACTGGGCTGCGGTGTTTGCTACTCGTGGGATTTAATGGCCGAGATTAGATCGGAGAAATCGGGGGCGCGCGATCACAGTAATCGCGTGGTGTGTACGGGTCGACAGTGAATCGGCGAAAAAGAAAAAGCGAGGGCCATTGGATTAGCGGTGTCCATTGTGTGTCGGTCACTCGCTCTTTTATATATGGAAAAATCGAGGCAGCCATCGAATTTCTTACCACCGTAACTTTGTTGTACCTCCCGTTCGTTATTAACAGTTTGATTAATTGAGTTAGTTCATTTGCTTGCCAAAGCTGCGTCGTGCGTAACTTAAATGGACTTTTTAGTTTTGTTTACAGTTTAGTACACAACATGGAAAGCAATTAGCGAATGGACATTGCAAAAGTTTTCCCTAAATTGGTCGATTCTCAACTTATTCGCGCGATGTTCAACTCTAACTTGGAATTGTGCTGTTGGTGGAAATAAATAGTCAGAGAGTTTAACTGCCTTAAACTTTATCTATTTTGGTTTGACTTGGCAAATCACTAAACTATAAAACTGCCTTTAGAAATTTATTATCTTGAGAGCGTTAAATGTTGTCCGAGTAATGAGATTGAAGAGGAAAAAGAAAAAAATAGATGAGAACTCGCCAAGTACTTTCATGTTAATGACTACTAGAATAAACGGAAGTATCTATAACATTGATGTCCATACTCAAGCACGAGAAATTAAAGAACCTTGTTTCACGACGTACTAACCTAAACTTGCTCAATGTAAAGGGGGCGTGAAAAGGGAAAGGTGGCGAGAACTACAAGCATTATTTTTTACGAGACGAGACAAAGAAAATACAAAAGACATTCCATTTGCTTCTGCGTACATCATGAAGAATTTCAAGCAAAATTAATGACAATCATAAACGTCTGAGCCGTAATCAAGATTGAGGATCGAGCTGAATTGGCAAACAGACGAACATTCAAAACCGCATTGGATTCGAGTGTTTCATTTTGTTCGCCAATCGTTAGAAAAGTTGCAATCTCATTTCGTTAGGCTCGCCTGCGAAAGTACACTGCAATACGAGTTGTACGCTACTTGGTGCGGCACGTTCGTTCCAAAAGAAAAAGTCTGTCTCCGCGTTGGCCGCATTTTCATAATAGATCGCACTCGTCGCGCGCAAGCAAGGCGCATTGAACGATACATCAAAGAAGTGCCGTCGATTACCTCGTGCGCTCGACGAGCACATTTTCAATGGAAAGTGTAGGCGAGCGAGGGAAGAAAAAGTGGAACGTACTTGATAAAATATGAATATGTGCGCGTTTACAGTCAAATACCGGGAGCAATGAGAAAGTATAAAATTTCGTATTCGAAATAACGGGCGTATGGCAAGGACACCTACACGACAAATTGAAATGTAATTTGACGTAAGCGCGTGGACCTCCAGTGAGTACGAAAAAAAGGAACAAAATAATGTGCGGTACGTGCTGTAGAATTTGATTATCAGAAAGCTCTTAAATGCCTTTTAATGGAAAAATACGCGTTTTCAGCATTTCTTTTTGATGTAGCCATTATTACGCGCCGCGGCCTATATTTTCGAAATCTATTATTCAGGCGCAGTATTGTTCGTCAGCGTGAAATTACTTTCAAATCGTAGCTTTCAAAAATAGCGCGGCTGGAATTTTTCATTTTCGCTGGCTTTTAGCGGCAAAAAGGCACTATACAATAGTTAGCAGTTTTTTGTTTGTTCTTTTTTCAGATAACAATCTCAATTAAAACTGGCACGATCAAAATTGCATTAGAAAAACTTTCCGCACACGCCTATCGTAAAAACAACGAGAAAGAAAAAGGACCGGAGCAGGAAACTTCCAAGCAGCAGTGGAAGATAGAAACAAGCTACGACGTAGATATAGACAGGGAAGAACGAACGAGGTTTATAAGCGCTTTTAACGACGCTGACCATCACCTCGATGCTATCGCACTTTACGAAGCTATAGCACGCTGTGCTGATGTATACGCACTGACTTCCATCGAAATAAGGAAAAAAATATTGTTCTGGAAAGAAGATCGATCGAACGATGGCAACATAACTCGGCAGATAGAGACATGATATTTGAGTTCATAGGGGAATGGGTATTTATTTATATTACGATGAATTCAAAGTATGTACTTTCTCTGAAGAAAAACAATCAAAATAGAATATTAACTGAAATAATAGTTTTAGAAGTAGTTTCAACATAATAGAAACGTCACTACTAAAATTACGATTCTGCTCTGTCAAAAAAGAAATTTAACATTACACAAATCTACGAAAGCCATACTAATGGTACTCGAAGAATCTTCTCAAGCCAACCCCTTAGTCCGCCGTCTGTCTCTTGTCTCGCCCTCTATACTCGTCACTTGTCTTAATAAATTAGCCGAGCCTTACAGACCAGAGGAGGGGCAATATAATTTTTTTTTCTTCTTCGTCTTCTTCTTCTCCACTTCAAAATTATATATCACGAGCAAATTGCTCTTACTTAATGAAGGCCTTTTGTAAATCGTATAGAGAGCAGCTTCGACTATCTACTCTCTAACGATCCTTTCACTCGTTAAATTGTTTCTTAAGGGTACAGAGAAGAGTTCAAAAGCATTAAAATATTTTACCTGAAGACCTCAGGTCATCACTCTCGATCTTACTGTGTAAATTTATACAGGAAAATAGAAATAATTTTTCGAAAATAAGAGACAAAAATAAATATAATAACAATGTCCAAAATTATTTCAGAATTGTATTATTATTTCAGAATAATAAATGTTTATAAATAAATTATATTCAATACATTGAATAGTGCCACTTTTCTCAAAATAGTTTTTATCCATTAACAGTAGCTTGAGAGAAGTTATTCTGGGTTTTTTATTCAATTTTTCTATTAAAAATGTTAACAAATCGAATGATATACTCTCAGTTTGAAAAACAATTGTATTATTAAACTTTCTTACAATTCCTAAAAGGACCTTTCAAAATTATAATGTGAGATTGTTGGGGTTTTAAAATGATACATTAATTATTATTAATTATTAATTAATAATTTCCATTGATTAACGGTAATGGAACCACTTCGCTAACTCTGTTGACTCATTGCAATTTAGTTAATGAATTGCCTACAATGAATAACAAATTAATCCTTTATGGAATACTAAATTATTCAAAACTCTAAATCGGTCGTTAAGCTAGTTTTGTAAATCAAAACAAACATCAAGTTAAGGTTTCGTTTGCACGCAATTTAGAAATAATAGAAAAAATTAATTTTGCAATCACTCACCTCATTTCAAAATCATGTATCTCTTGCATAGTCAATGTATTAGCCACATCTAACAATTGCCTCATGTTCTCTTCCCTCCTCATGGCCTCGGCATCGGTAGGCCTCAACAAAATCGTAGCAGCAGGGCCGCCGTCCAATGACAGTGAAGGTTGTTGAACAACAATGGTCGCTTGGGCAGTCCTTTTTCCAGTGGTGGGATTCCCGCCTTGTTTTTTTTTTTTTTTTTTTTTTTTTTTCAACGCCAACGAGAAATAACCAAGAGGGAAAGCCGACAGAGAGAAGGAGAGAGGAAAAAAAAAGAGTTTGAACGATTAGTGTCCTCGGCCTTGGGGTGCGGAACTTCGAGGCGAAATTCGCTATCCGACAAGCTTCGCGTGTTTACCGCGAAGAATCCTTGAGACAGCGAATCGCACCTCAGTAAAGTCGCACCTCGCGCACGAAAACATTTTCACGTGCAAAAAGTACTTGGATAAGATGGGTATATAGCGGCGTTTTATGATACTCTTTTGAACGCTCTTCTATGTCAACCCAGTTTCGTGCGATTGTGTGCCATTATTCTTTTCTTTTTTTAATTTCGAAGACAGAGAATGCGATTATACGCTACTTTATTTTACGTTCAGAGAAGAAAAATCAATTTCTGTTTTATTTGTTTCAAAATTTCTTTTCCAGAACAATAATTGCACTCAAAAATTTTATTTTGACGTATTATCCAAAAAAAACACTCAAAATTGTGCAAACAGTTCAGTTCATCTAGGAAATTCTAATGTTATGAAATACAAAAATTTGTATACAAATAATTCTATCTGTAAGTTTTCTGCAACTGTTATTACAGCGCATCAAACAAACGCAAACCGATTGAAAGCCTGCGCATGAAAAGCATTATAGGTCCTTCCGTTGAAAAAACCAACGAAAGATTAATGGCAGAACATTCAATCAGCGGTATTCAACGTTTTTATCTTACTGGCATTTGTTAGAATAAACGTCTGCATTAGTTCATGAGCGATTTTCTTAGTTAATTGCATCTTGGTATTCTTCTTCAATAAATTCAATGCAACTGTGTTTATAAAGTCCGATACAATGCTATGTGTAGCAATACAGAATAGTGTGGCAATCAGTATTTATCAATATTAGCGCTGACACTGAAAAGAGTAATCAAGCTTTTGTCTACCTTGCAATATACTCACTAGAATAAAACAACACTAACGAAAGCGTGTTCAATCATAATTTGTGTGGATATATCGTATTGAACTGTTTGCAAGCGCATTCCTAATTCACAAAATATGGACAATGTCGATACAAAACGTCAATAAGGAACAACGCGGTACTTCCGATAAAAATGTTTTGATCCTCGCTCTTTCCAAATCGATCCACTCTCATTTTGATCGCAAAAAGCAAAATCATTCTTTTTCTTGTTAACTGCGTTCATCACGGACCGCTAACCGAGAAAGAAAAATAAAATTTCGATGTACGCGCGCGCGCGCGCAGCCACGTGTGCGCGTGAGTTCAAAAAAGCAGCGAAAAAAACAGACAGCGTCTCGCGGTTGTGCGACAAAGCAAAAACAAAACACATACACACCCTCGCTGATTTTACAGCCGAACAGGCGGTGGTGCGGGCGCGCGAAAGTAATCGAGCTTCGAGAATTGGCTGCACTCTCGCGAGAAGTGTATGGGAAAAAACGTTTTGTTTCGCGCGAGTTCGGAGTGATCGTGTGCATGCAACTGTTAAATCATATCACATACGTATAAAATGCGCCGCGGTCGTATGTATCAAACGCGCGGCTAGTTTTTTTTCCAATCTGCGTATATGATCAAAAGGAATTAGTTGGGTGGTACTTGTATGTGCGCGTGTGCGTATGAGTCAGTTGGTATTTGACGTACCGAGCGAGGCATGAGTGTATCAGAGAGATTAAAAACTTTATTCAAATAGAGTGCTTTTTTCAATCGAGTTACTCTCCCTCTTACCGATCACGTCTCTATTCATAGCCTTTTTTTGCAACAAATTCGATAAGTCTTTATTGATTGATAAATTTTTACTTTACGGTGTGGAGATATTTGAAAAATTACAATCGTGAGTATATACCTTCATCTTCTTTTGTATTTGTCCCGGTGAAATATTCATTATTTGCATAGCTCATAAAATAGAAACTTAGTTGGAATTATCGTCATAAAGGCAGCTATATTAATTGTCGATCGATAAATTCTCAAAAAACGATTCCAAATTAAGATCGGCATCATTAACTAAATTGAAATGATCTGGAATCTCACTCGGACATTATCTGTCACTCAAACGTTAAATTTAGACCATATACAAGTCAGCCACAGCTCTGTCGTTCAAATATATATATATATATATATATACACACAATATACCCAAGGCATTCATCGTGCAAATTTCAGTCTTTCTTGCGCCAGCACAATATCTGCCAAGATATTCTAATACGATCAACTCGATTTATGTAAGGTTCCATTCAAATAAACCCGATAGAGGGAGAGAGAGAGAGAGAGAGAGTGAGCGATTGTGTGCCCTCGGTACGTCATCTGCCGGCGAATATAAATAGTTTAAGATACAAGGGGGGTTTGGTGGCCGAAGGGGGTAACGTACTCCATCCTAATGCATTTTATGTATATTTCGAGCCACTTACGAATTCCAGCGGTGAGTTGCTCAAACATCTACGGACGATTAGTCAGTAACGATTTAATTGTTTAAACGGCCGTGGTTAGTTCATTGATCAACGCATCTTTTATGTATTTTGACTTACTAAATACGAATTATGATTATGGTTTAACCAGAAATTCACGAGGAATTAGTTATAAACGAAGTAAATGATTAAATGACCGTGAGAATTATATTGATCATCTCATTGAAATTCGGAAATGTGTCGTGTATTTACCATCCAATATCGAATGCACCGGTTCTTTCAGAATCGAACAATGTCGAGATAGAAACAATAACACGGCATAGGCAGCGCGAGCGCGAATCAGCAAGGCAGGCGCTAAACGAAACCATTCAACTAAAATTGAGATATCTCAAGTTCTATTCAACATTTTTTTTTTTGGATCCGAAAAATTCCATGGATTCGATATGTGAAGAGGAATGCATGGCCATTTTCATAATATCGGTGAGTTGATTAATACACTAATTATGACCATTGAAACGATTAAATTGTTAATCAATGGGTTTTTTTAGCAAGCCACTATCGAAATTCGTGCTCAGATTGAAATACATAAAATGCACTCCGGAGAAGCCCATTGCTTGCATCGGCTACGAAACTTCCCTTGGTTCCTAAACTAAAAGTAAACGCAATGCATTCGGTATTGTAATAGCGAGTGCCAGTAAAAAGCTGTACAGCGGACAAGAGATAGATATATCTACGTAAGCAAATTGCGCACGAGATTTCAAAGTGTGTGATTGGCCGAAATCAACGAGGACACTGTGACATTCTATATAACTGCATCGTCGTTATTTCGGCCACAATGCCGCAAAGTGTGTGAACAAGCGCACGCAGAAGAAACACAAAAGCACGCATCGATTGGTATTTTGCTTTATTTATTTTATTTCGTCACGTGCACGCGCGAGATTCGAGAAAGAGAGAGAGAGAGTGAGAGAGAGAGAGAGAGAAAGAAAGATACACACACACAAACAATAGTGCTAGACTTCTCTCTCTCACCTCTCGGGCGGCAAAAACATCTCTATGTACCTATTGCGCAAAACGGGAAAAAGAGCCTGACCCATGAATGAATGGTCGATACGAGGGGATGAGATTCTGAAAGAAAGAACATCAAATCATTTTTTTTTTGTTTCGTCTGTCTTTTTGTCTTGTGGAATACGCTTTGTTTGTGCAGTTATGCGCGGGAAGAATATAATTTTGATTATCTATTTTCGCAATGCAATGTATTCTTCCCACTCACAAGTTGTCACTTTCTCGCGAAAGATACCCTGAACATACGACAACAAAAGAATAAGAATTGATATGACGAATTCAGAGAACTACGATAGAAGTAGGTGCTTGCATATAAAAAATGTCATTCTTGAAAAAAGAACAGAAAGGTAAAGTATGGCATCTGAGTTACGATCTTCAAGACTGAACCTTTTAAAAATTAGTTCTAAACGTTGATTGATGATGATATAATAATTAGATGTTGTAAAGTTTTTCTGGAAAAGCGCCAATTACATTGATCGATCGCGTTATAGCATGAAGACGGCGAGAGACGGAAGCTTTATAACAACTAAGCAATTCTTGTTGAATGTTCCAATTAACAGTCTGATATTGATCAGAAAGTTCTACTTTCTACTATATAAATGTTTATTTTCTCGTGTGTCATTAATTGAAGAAAATATACATGTATAAACCGACGGGTTCATTAGCGAGTTAATAATTCGGGTCGCGAGGCACACAAAAGCCTCAACATTTTAATTGGAACAGTCATGGCTAAAATTCCACGTGGATCCATTAAATCGCAAAACACAAGGTTGCAAGAGAGCGCATGGAAGAGAGATAGAGAGAGAGAGAGAGATAGCTGTCACTTGCATTATAAACGCTTACAATAATAATGAGAAACTTGAACAAGCAGGTATATAAACGGGTATACGTAACAAGTATGTAACTTTACGAACAAAAACGAAAGACGCATATAATAATAATAATAATAATATCATCATCAAAGACCTGTGCGTCAAAATCCTTGCCGTTATTATCACGATACCATCGGCTTGCAACTAACCTGCATTTCTGCTTCGTGCTCCAGTGCCAGCATTGTTATTTTGTGCGATTTGTGTAGTGCACAACGAGATGTCGAGCGGATTCGTGGTCACGTTGATGTTTGGCTTGGTCGGGCTTTTCTTCAACTGCTCGCTCACGGGACTTTTCTCGCCGTTCGTCACGGCGACGCCGTTCGTTATCGATTGATTATGATGATTATGATCGTTCGTCGCAGCGCCAAAGTTGGTTGTCGTGACTGCCGACGATGGCGGCGAAACCGAGCCGTTTCTCAACTTGTCCTTGGCCGCCACTAGTGCCAACATCGAGCTTATCTGCTGAGCGTCCGCTGGTTGGCCTGCGTCCACTGAGCCTCGTACCGGTTGGCTGTAAGACAAAGCAATAACGATCTTGCATTTTTTACAATTTTCCACGAATACAAAAGTGCTTCTTTCGAATAACGCCGCGGAAAAATTCGAGTATTGCTTTTCCTGCCGTAGAGATTCGTAGAAATTTGTTGAAAAACGTGTACGCATAGCAATATTGCAAAACCAATAGCGAATTAGATTTGTGCTCTTGCAGGTGTAATCTCAGTACCTTTCAATTTTGCGCATAATGTAGCCCAATTCATTAGATTAGCCATTAAATATAATTCTGAACTTTTCATGTTTAACCTAAGCAGCAAATGAACAGTTGACCGCCGCGCCTCTTTGACGTTACTAAAGCAATTATACAGTCTCTGCTGAGCAGAATTACTAAAATTAAGCTTCAATTAAACTATCAGTTTTCTTGAATTAAGACTACATTATGATGAAAGCTTTTAAACTTATTAAATATTCCTCAGACGTTTCAATCTTTTTCACATCGAAAACTTTAGGGAGCGAAGAAAATACGTGAGTTCATTGAATTCCAAAAGGACCAACGTTTCCCAAACGGAGTCGCGTAATTATCCTCTTCGACTCTCGATTCCATTAGAAGATTGCTACGGAAGATCTTTTTCTCGCGAAAAACCCATTTCGCAATCTGCGATGAATAAAAAGAAGATACGTCTTCATTTGGGAGGAATTTTTAAATTTTCGAGAGAGCGTGACTAGCGAGCATCTGTATCAACGCGAAAGATTATTCAACAAAAGTAGAAAGGGTACAATGAGCATAGCTTCTCGACGGCTCGTCGTCGTCGCCTACTTTCGTATATTTTTTTCCTTTGCTCGGTTGAAAAGACGAATTTATCGATTGCAGCCGAGCAGTAGCACCAGCTAGCGCAACAAACTCCGTCTTTCCACTTTTTCACCGCTTTCTCTCCCGCATCAATGATTTATGGCAGTTTCTGAAATGGGAGTCGTTTATTTTCTATGTGCATTATATAACTTCTCCAGTAGCACACCTAGCTCTATTGATATCTGTTGATGCTAGCTCGGGATTTTTCTCTGCCACATGCGTTATTTCTTGTATTTTAGGAGTTCGCCGGAGCTTTATGAGGTATCTCTAGTAGGAAATGCTTTTCAATGCGAAATCTCGGAATCTCTTGCTTTTCTTGCTGTATATAGAGCATTAGAAATGGAATTTTCAGCGCTAATCAAAAAGGATTGGCTCGTAAAGTTGTTCCGAAGTTCGCTTGTTAGAAATACAGCTATCCGATACTATAAAAATCTCTTTTCATTTGGAAAATAATTTCAAAAACTCATTAAGATTTCAGAAATTACTCTAACTGCTGGAAATTAAAACATTTATTTTGTAATCTGACACATTAAAAAATCTACGCTTCGGCTCGTAAAAAATTTTATCGTAAACGTAATTCTTAATGAAAATCGAATTTTTCAGTCTGTCGATAACAATGCTAAACAAAACTAGCGTCCCATCTGAAAACACGAAATACAAAAAATATATATGTAGTCAAAGAAAAATCCAGCTCCGACCACGTTTTGACCTCTTTCTCATTTGGCTCGAGGCGAGGTTGCCTCGCTGCGGCCAACGAAATTACAGGAAAAATGAAACTATAGATGCGTATATACTCTTCCAATATAGAAAAGAGAGAGAAACATGTAGTAAGTGTGTCCTAAGGGATCGGTTAAGTAGGGAGTAAGAAAAAAGAAAACGAGGGAGTACCCTATAGGAAAAGTTTCAGCTTCACGTGCGAATCGTACGGGAATCGACACGCCTCGAGCAATTTGGAAAGTTCGACGACACGTGCGTACAAAAGGAAGCTTCTATTTGCCATGCCGCACATCTTGCCATCATAAATTTACTAAAAATATGTGATTTCCTACCATTCGCGCGCACGTGTGCAAAACAAAAACAAAAAAAAAAAGAAACAAAATGTTCTCTCCTACACTATTACCCCACAATTTTCCCGATAAAATTATATTCAACGGAATTATTACTTTTGTAAAAGTACTGTAATGCAGATAATAAAGTTAGTCACGCGAGAGAAACTTGGATGAAAGCAATTTAAACCCACTCGCGAGCGAGCCGAGCAAGTGACATCACGAGCGCTTGTACAAGTTTTTTCTCTCTCTTCGTGCGCGATGATAACGTAATAATCAAACAAACCTGAAGAAGTCGAGAGCCTTGAGATCAGGTAACGCTGGTATTCTGGCACGTTGTTCAGAGGTAAAGGTAAACCTTGACTCCTGCTGCGAACCCACCATTGGTGTTGGTGGAGGCGCACCGGGACTATCTGCACCCGAGTTCGCCGAAGACAACGTTGGCACTATTTTTGCAACACCATGCCCATTTTGAACTATGGTAGATGGTCCATTGGTCATTGCAGTTCCGTTTACCTATAATAGGTGTACGCAAGGTTGATCTAGGTCCACATATCGGTTTATTTCGGGAAACGTTCTACACGCTCGTTTCTTTCTTTTTAATTCTGCCCACAAACAAAGCTTGGTGATTCAATCCAGCTCACGTGCTATCCTTCATTCGAAGGATGATTAATGAATTCGGATGATTAACTTTTGCGGTGATTCACGAACGTGAAACTAGTGCTTCGTCGACTGAATATCGCGCGAATTTGTTGTTTATTTACCAACTGGACAGGAAGACCATTTTCGCATGGCTTAACGATGGTCTGCTGTTGTAGTTGTGGCGACGTGGATGTGACGACAACGGTAACTGGCGCTGTTACTCCATTCATGCTAGTAGTAACAATAGTCGAATTCGCGACGACTATACCATTATTGTGAACTGGTGCTGGTGCGACGACGTCGTTCACAGGTGGCGGCGAAAGCTCCGGTGGTATGTCCATCAGATCCAAGCTATCATCGTGTGGCTCACCGTCCGTTGTGGTTACCTGCAATCAAAAGCAACATACATGCGTATATACGTCTACGGCCTTGTTTGATTTCAAGGATATCCTTTGATCACATATATACGAGTGAACGCGAACATTTTGCGGTTTCAATTTAATTGACGGATGCCTGCATCTGGCGTATTGCGTATTTCTCGTTTATGTACACTGAAAGCTATATTGTATGCACTTGGCGCAGTGATATCAATACTTATGATATCAATACTTATTCTTGTGGCGAAAACAATTGCATTTTTTTCGGTTGTCTTATGCAACAAAAATCAAATTATGTTTGTATTTACAATTTTTTTACTTATTTTACGTGCCAGTGTCGAAAATGTCAGTTAAGCAAATAAATAATTACGTAAATACTAACTTTTCCGTAAAAATTAAACTAATGAAAATTATGAAATTAAACTAATAATTATACGTGGAAGAAACTATATAAATACATCCATCAAAGGCTTTTATTTACACTTGAGTTTTCAGATATTTAAATAAAAGAAATTGATAAATATAACATAAAAAGAATATAAAAATGATCGTTTAAAAACCTCTTCATTATTTCAAATAAAATAGAACATCAAAGTATTTCTTCTAATTACAGTACAACTGTGTATTGTAATTGAAAAAATCTACCCGTTTCGCATAAAAACCAAAATATAATACTAACCAATACAATTAACGTTGGGAAATTGCAGATTGGACAATTGAATCATTCATTCAAAAAATAAGGGAAAATACTAACCATCGTGACCATAGTATTGGCACTGTCAGTGCTGGTATTGATAGTGTTTTCGGATGCAGTACTGGAGCCCATGATGACTAGTTTGGGCACGGTACGGCTAACCGACTTGAAATGGAAGCGACGTAGCGCCGATGCGGCGTGTGCGAGTAGATCACTTTCACCGCGCGAACCATGATCCCCGTTGTGGTGACGTCCCGATGTGCCAGCTGCCGTGGTACCGGCAGCTGCTGAATGGCTAACCCACGCCGCCGAACTCCTGCCCGCCGAACCACGCTGCTCCGAGCATCCCTGCAGGTTGCATTGTTGAAAACCACCAAGAATTTTCATTAACGGTCTTTACCAGTAGGCTTACGATTCGAGTCATTGAAATGTTGATATTTTTATTTGCGGCGAACAGCAGCTTTTCGCCATTTCGTTGCTTTTCGAGATTCTCACGTTGGAGTTTATGAAAAAGCAATATCTGCTTTTTCTTTTGAGCAATATTGAGCGACATGATCTCTCTTTTTCGCGATAAAATGCAATATATGAAAGTATGAATTTCCGTGCGCTTTTTTGAAATCTAAAAGAAACTAGTTTCCGAAAATTCTATTCGGCGACGTTGAAAGTGGAGCAAGTAATTTTTTATTCTTCGCTAAAAGAGATGAGATGAAAAGTTTGCATATAGACGACACGTGCTCAGAAACTCCAGCGTCGAAAGTACCTCCAGATAATTGAATTTCGCAAAATTCAAATGCAGATATCATATTGTCTGCGTCAGTGCTTCGAAATAATTATGTTTGCTTCAAAAAACGTATTCCTAGTTCCTCGACAGTATTAAATGCTTACAAAAACAAACTAAAAGTAATACAGTTTTCTTATCCCTCGTTAATAAAATGACCGGGCTAACATTCATCTCGAACGAATTATTTCAGTTAAACAAGTCTTCAATTCCGATAAAAATAATGTACACTGCCAAAAAATTCTCTAAAGGAAGAGAGCCCACAGAAATCCTTCCCCTCTCGTACAACAGTAAAGCTATACGTCTTCAGCCTATCTCGCCCTTCGCTCAGACTCAGACGCGAACTGTACATAGCATAAATTCTTCGCTTGTACAAAGTTCGACGTAGTACCACCGAGTGGTTCCACTCGATGTCTAAATCCCCTTTGAGTTAAGAGCCTCCGACATAAATAAAATTATCTTCCCTTCTTTCGCGGATCGATTCTCTTTGCCCCCTCCTCATCGCCGCTTACATTATTATTCAGCCGAGAGTGAATCGATCGATTTGTGAGCATAAGCCTATTTTCCCCTTCTCCCTCATTGTGTTATTAGTCGGCGTTTTGGGGATGTAGGTCGCGTAACGTCTTATCCTTGGGGAGGCTGTCCACAAGTGCAAGGCCTCTGGCGATTTAGCGCGCATTGTTGACAGTACCACGGACGAGCATTATACACAATGTCTTTACGACTAAGCAAAGTCTTTTTAATGCTACCGCTGCTTCTACTGAGCGTTCTATATCTGTGTGTGTGCGTGCGTGTGTGTGTGTGTGTGTGCGTGCGTGTGCGTATGCGTGTATGTTGTGCTTTCTACCTTGACTATAGAACGGGCAGTCAGGTCTGTTTATGTGAACGTTAAAGTTACGAGAGAGGTTGTTTAGATGACAAGTGACCGATGCCTCAAAGTTGAGGGATATTTGCTGACACTAGAGGTTAATGAGTGGTTACCGACCTTCGTATGTTTGATACTTATACACATTTTGTAAAAAGCTGTAATTTTATTTGCAATTACTATAACTGTGTTTGCAGACGATTTCCAAGATAGTGAATAGGAAAATTGAAATTGGTTTGTTCGAGATTAATTGACATTCGTTAATCTACTTACGTTTAGTAAATAATTAGTTAGAAAAATCGTAGACATCGTTAGAGCCCGAAGAAAATTCATGAAAAGTAGCAGCAGCACGAGTACACCATTAGAAAGTAAGAATAAAAAGCTCCGCGCCTTTGTCTCCCGTATATAGTCCGCATAGAGAGCCATTAAACGACGAACCCTTCGCGCAGTGTGTACATAGCATGTAAAACAAGCAACTGATCAAATTGTCCGATATGACGGCTACGTGTCGCAGCGTATAACACGCTTTACGCGCGAGGATGTTCAAGCGCCTTAGCTATTTGTCTTTTACTGATTACTGCCGCCAACGTGGACCTGGAATTTATGTGGACGCTGAAAATTGGTTCGGTAAGCAACGGAGAGAGAGAGAGAGAGAGAGAGAAGTAAAATCAATAAGTCACATATGGAAACAGCTGCAGTTATTTTATTGCGTGCTTATTGTATATGCTCAATTAATGAATATGACGTATAAAAAGTCCATGCCGTCTGTTGCGTTCGTTCTGTATAAATTGCTCGGACTGTATTTTGCACTGTAATGAAAGGGGCTAAATATGGTAAAGTTAGTTGAGCCTTACATCGAAGAAAGTCTCTTACATTAGATTTTTCCTTCGTCGACTAAACGGCTGTATGTAAAGAAGAAATTATTTGAAAGTTTAGGAGAGGCTATGGATTATCAATGAAAGTTAGTTCGTATTTCTAAATCATCCCAAGTTTCGCATTGAATATGTAAGAAATAATCAAATACATTTTGATACGATATCTAGGTCGTATAACTCGAACTTTTTTGTTCTGAAAAAAAAAATGATTCCACTTATTTTGCAATTGTCTAAAACTCGCATACAAGCACGAGATACGAGTACTTATATGAATCGTGATTCCATCGCATTAAAACATGCAAGAGCTTTTCATTACGGAACCATTGTTCTCATCAAAAATTTCTCCATTCAATTTCATTCAATTCTTTGCCACAAAAGAAGTCCAAGCCCGAATTACAATAAAAAAAAGAAGAGAATATACAATATATCGCTACACGCACGCCTGTCCAGACGACAGAACGTCGCTCAAGAGATATAACAATGGAGGATCCGGGAACAAAGCTCTTTTCATCCAAGCGACAGTATCATCATCATCATCATCATCATCACCATCATGATCATCGAGACTAGAGATTAATCAGCAAAACAGGCCAACCAATTAAGAAGATACAAATAAAAGCCCGGTTTGCAATTACCCGTGTGCGTAGGTTATCAGGTAGGAGCACACGAATGCTTTACAGCCATTACTCGCTTGAGAGGATTTGCCTCTTCAGCGCTTTGCTGATCTCATTCGCCATATATGTTGGTACATGGCTGGACGGACTGCTGATGGGTTGCGCAAGGCTCAATGATGAGCCTCAGCTGTTTTAGCCCTCTGCGGAATTTGCCCGACGGATTGATGTATACGCCACTAATACTAGCGTTTCGTCGATTGATTACCAAGGTATTTACGTTTAATGTAGTGCTCGCAAGATTCTGTTATTGCCAAATGTAATAAGCATAAAAAAAAGATTGGAAGGACGTAAATCTAAAATATTATGGAAAACCATAATTTATATCGATCGGTATTATCAAACGGAAACAGCGCACTAATAAACTTAGTTTTACGGATCGGATTATTAATTACAACCTCTTCCTTTCCTTTTAGAAATTTATCGGAATTTGAATGAATAAAACCGAAGCTTTCGAAAAAAAATTTCGTCCAAAATTAAATTTCAAGCAAGGAAAAAAAAAAATCCACTCCATTACAAATGAAGCGACGACGACGATGGGTCGTAAGTGAAAATCAAGTAAAGAGCTCTGGCGCACACTTGAAGAGCTCCGCATTCGCCGCAGCAGCACTCAAGCAACTAAATAAATTTAAGCGGATCATTTTCAAATTTAAGTTTATAAGGCCCCCTCATATGTATCTCTCGTTTCCAACGTCTCGTCGTCAGACACAATGCGCCGGAGATGCTTATACAGTAACCGCGCACGTAGCGAGATTCCACCATAGTATATTCAACGTCGTCGTCCTGAAACGCTAACCTCGAGTGTCTGTTTGCGTAATCTCGTCGAGTGGCAGAAGATTCGAACTAACGCGAAATAATTTTGCCTCTTACTCTCATTTGTGAGCACGCACTCGTAAGATCGACTTGACTTTACCAAAGGATTATTGGATTAATTATGTGAACACATGATGTTTCTTATTCGAATGTGGCTTAATTTGCGGGATTAAAGTTTTGCTTTCTTTTGCTGCTTCTGAATTTTATTTCAGTGTCAACTGAAATAAAGTAATTTTTTTTTCCTTGCAAAGAAACATAATTGAACTTTTTGAGTGACAGTTCCGTTGTAAAAGGAAGTTCTATTGCACATGAAAGTTCCGCATAATGCCAGAAGATAATTCAAGTTATAATACTGAATTTTCAGCAGAAAATAAAAGATATGAAGCGTATGCATGCTAAAATAAAAAAAATTTAAGTATATCCTTATACATTTTCTTTACTTGGTGTGATTTATTTTCCTATCACGTCTGTATATATTTTTTTCCTTTCTTAAAGTCTTTATCTTTTTTAATGCAGTTCGGTAAATCACAACAGCTCGACATAATTTCAAACTTTTGCGTTGTACGTATGCTTCGGTTCTTGTGTTCTTTTTAATTTTTTCTATTTGATTTTTAACTGTTATCATCTAACAAATAGAAACCTATTGTCAATACTATCGTTATACTCTTAATAGCGAATTAATTATGTGTTGACAAACAAATAAAAAAGAAAACGAAACAAAAGCTAGCAAATTTTTGGATTAATTTTTTTACTTTTAGAAAACTTTCCAACTCGATAGTAATTTTCTCTTTTAAATATAAATTTGACAGACAGATATAAATTGATATAAATCTAATATTCGAATACCTATTACTGCTCAGTCAGTCAAATTTAATAATAAGTAGATATCATTTTTGCAATGAAATGAAAGAATATATTTCGAATAATTTTGCATATCACGTTCGATTAAAATTAATTAAGCGTTTTATTTCTGGCATTGACTGTTTTTGAATGACTTTCTCCTTGTCATTAAATATGATTTGAATTTATTAATCATGAAAATGGCATCAAAATCACTCTAATCGAAATTAAAATTTCTGGAAATACGGTCAAAATCAATTGATCGAGCTTAATTCGAATTGCTACTCTCATCCGAATCCAATTTTGAATTTAATATTCATAAATAACGTCTCTCTCCAGATGGATCAATATTTTTTTCGAAATATATTTTTTTAATTTTAACTTCACCGAAAAAATACAATTTTAATAACAAATCTAATCATAATACACAAGCCTTCATTCAAAAAAGCATAAGAGTATAAAACTTCATTTACACCATGAGTCTGTTACCGTTCTCGCACATGCACGCACTTTGAAAGGCTATCTGACATAATTGTACTTCTTACTTTGCTTACTGTGCGTGCAATGGTGTTCAACTGTGGCGAAGTTCATTAATTTTAATTGCAGCTTGAGCATGGCTATGCTCTCATGTCTCGTGACTCGTGTCTATTATTTTTTTCATTTTTCGCTTTGTCACAGACTACGCGACTCAGCCTTACTATCATAACCCTTTTTACCTATACGTTTTTCATTTATCTACGGCCATAGCACGTAATCAAAAATAAATGAAGTACTGAATCAATAAGCGGTTTTATTGTTCCAAATAGCTGTTTTCAACAGATAGCGTATTTCAAGTGCGCACAATAGAAAATCTATTTGATGGACATTCGTAAACGAAGAAATGAGTTCATATGGCATTGCTTTTTCACTGGAAGTATTAATTAATTCTCTGCCTTGGGTGAAGAAGAAATGCAATTGTGCAAAGCGTCATGTGAACAAATGAAAGAAAATTCTATTTAATTTCGACAAAATTATCAATCATTCTGAGATACAAGTAAACTCGATGCAATTCAATTTGCAACAATTGCTTGTTGTCGCAATTAAATCAACTTGGAAAAATGGAATAAAAAATCTATTGAAAATTAATTACAAAATTGACCCTGATAAATAATCTTTGAGTCAGCGAAAAAATTCCTGAAGTAATTAAGCAACAGCGGCTATAAAATTTCTCGTGAAAAAGAAATAAAAAGTGTCGCTGAAAGCCAGCAATGATATAGTAACAGAGAGAAAGAGAGAGAGAGAGAGAATGCAATATAAACGACGACACTGCTTCCCTCTTTCCCTCACTCTTTTTACGCGGTATAATTGGTTTTCTTAACTCGTCTCGCGGATTTCGTGGACTGCCGCCACGGATTAAGCAACTTTTGCTCTTTCGTGTGCGCGTCGAAACGGAAAGAATTAAGTAGCTTATAGTACACTCGTGAATAAAACCACAATGCCAGAACTAAAAAAAAAAGAATCCAATAATTCCACAACGAAAAAAGACGATAAAGAAGAAAGAAGAAAAAGTGTTATTTACACCTCGTTAGACTTTGCTATTGGGGAGCTGCTATTCTCGTTTGCCAGTGGCGCCGTCCTTCTCGACTTTTCGTGTCTAATCAGCATGCGCAAAATCATGCGCGAGTCACGTCGGAAGCTAAGAGAGAATGCCGACATGCTCGCACATACGTTGAACACATACAACGCACGACAAGGAGAATAATTATTATGCCTGCTAGTTTGCTAACTTTAGTTCTGTTGTTGCTTCTGGGTGTAATGGCGTGCAGACGTGGTCGCTGTGTGTGCTGTGTGTACGAAACGAGTGAATTAATTTGCCATGTCGGCTTTGAGTTGACGGTATGAATAAACAATTTCATCCGACGAACTTTACTCAGCGTTTAGTTAGTTTTTTTCTTTCGGAAATTCTTTGAATGGCAATTAAAAGCTACATGAAAGATTATTTACTCGTGTTTTGAAGCACTTTTCCAAAATAAAAACTGTGCGTTTTCGTTTCTAACACAATTCACAATAAATGTCGTTCAAAGAATAGCGCTACGAATGCGATTTACTCGTCGAATGTTTTGAAAATTATAAGCGTGTGCGTTTTTCACGAAACTTGTTGTTTGACCCAATGAACAATCTTTGACAAGCGAATTACATAGAATTTAATTATTAAAAAATTGCACATATCTTTAGACGCTCTCCACGCATACAAGCCACCTCTTTCTATGCTATTGTTTTCACGCGGAATGAAAGAAACCAGCTGCCCTATTTACATTTTTTTTTGCTTCTAACGAAGTTAAAGTAAAAAGATTCCGCTGCGAAGCGTAGTAGTAATAGTCAGCCTTTAGTGCGCCGCACGGCCAACGGACTAAACGAGCAATAAACTACCCCATTACCTTGGAGAAAATAGCATGAGGCAGGAAACTTATAGTAGCAGTACAGCAACGCTATTTAAAATTGGAATGGAATGAGAAAAGAAAAACAGAGCAGTCTAAGATCTGTAATGATTTTTGTTCGGTTTAACAATGTTAGACATTCCGAGCTTTCAAAAATTCGATCGAAAATATGCGTCTTGCTAACAAGAAAGAAAGAAAGAATTGCCTCATAGTATCTGAATCAGCATAATCGAAAAATTATCTATAAGAAATGGAAAACAAGGACGAAAGCAAGAAAGGGAAAAAAAACAAAGAGGCATAATCCGCATGATCAATCTGTCAGTTGCTAGGGTCGCTCGTTTGCATGGCCCTGAGGGAGCCAACTCTCCCCGGCGGCGGCGTTAAGAGGAGCACGCCGAAGGAACGAAGTCGACCTCTTCTCTTTCTCTTCTATCAAGCGGAACGGCGGCTCGTTTTTCGGCGGTAGCTGCCAATGCTGCAGTGCGGTTTATTTTTAGACGTCTGGCTCTGCCTGCTTTTTTTTTGCTGCAGAATTGCGCTGCCAGAAGAGGGAAGATTTTTCTGCGAAATCTGCAAGTTTCTTTTTTTATCTCGCTCGACCTCACGGGAACGCGAAGGCTTTTACCATCACCACGGGGAGACGAGGGAAAAGGAACATTTTTTAACCAGTTATGAAAAGAGCCGTTTGGCTTTCTCTCACGCTCTCTTGAGTACCATTGCTTTTTTGTTCGCTACGGATTGTTGTTTGCGGAATACGAACAAAAGTGGTAAAGCTTTTATGTCGATAAATCAGAACTGTAGATACAATAGCAATTACCGAGTCTGTGAAGTTTAGGTTGCACGTGCAGTATATTATGCGCAGGTGCGATAAAGAGATAATATTAATCGTCATAGCTTTAGGAATTTGGAGTTTTTAAGCCTATTACTACATAACCAACGCAATATAGGTATTTGAAATCACAATTATTCGACATATTACATCCGGAAAAAATACACACAAGAGCTCCTGCACATTCGATTTATCGGGACTTTCATGTCACAGTAAAAGCTGCCACTACTATATTCATGTCCATTAAAATAATAATGAGCATGCCCATGTATAGCCCATATCTGGACTTTGATGAAACATACAGGCATAGAATACAGTCAACACAAAGTCCACTGATTTATTTATTATTTACTTCATTTATGTTTGTCACGGTTTAGTTTGTACACAGTTACCAATCAATATCCCCCGAAACATCAACAGTTTGAAAAAAAAGGTGTCGACTTCAAACGATACTTACGTGCGCCTTGTGCTCGGGCGTCGAAGATGGATTAGGTGTGTTCGGCAGGGAGCCCCCGGAAGGGGTGCCGTGCCGCAGCCGCGCCAGGGCCGTGCGAAGGCCCTCCGTCACGAGGCTCTTTTTATCTCCTTCACGGCAGAGCAGCACTTCCCGCCCCCCTCGGGCCCGCTTGCGACCCAGCTTTTTCAATCTGAATCGTTTCGCGCGCCGCTTTTTTATTTTTATTTATTTATTTATTTTTTTCTTGCTTTGACGCTTCGGCTTTGTTTATTCTTTTCTATGCCAATTCATGCGGGCTCTGCTCTGCCGGGGCTTCGTTCGCTGTTGTTGCACTGCGAACAAACAGACATCATTGCATTATCGATTTGGCACATTTGGAAAAACTACTTCTTCGGTAACTCGACATTATTTCAATTAGACGTGAATTTCCACTTCGTGAAATAATAAATAAAATCAATCATGAATATAACCTGAAAGTGGAATATAAGCTTCAATCTTTTTTTCTCACACTTCTATCCAACGCAATTTCTTTCCTCTCAACTTCGTAGTCAAGCAGAGAATTGAATGCTTCACGAATGCGGGGATGAATGAAACAGAGTGGGACGAGCATCTAATATTGATGTTTGATTGAGCGGAAGTGAATGAAACGCACGTGTTGATTTAAGAAAAATAATATTCTATATCTCACTACGAATACGTAGCTAGCGTATTCGATTGATTATGTCTAAATCAGAACCTTAAGAAGTTTATTTACATTTAACGTAAAAAGGCCCTATTTTATTTTTTAACATTTTCCGGAACAAAGGATGAGAAATGCAACTCCGCGGACGTTTAGTTGCTTGGATTTATATGCCTGGTACGAGTGTAACGGCAATGTCGTTGAAAAAACGAAAAAAAATCCATGAGTTGTGCACTCGTCGGTCGACAGTCGCGACAACACCGCAAAAAAAGCTCCCTTTCTATCTCGGCAGATATCCAATTACGAGCAGAGAGGTGTCGAGCTCTTTAGGCAGTGAGCGCGAAATGCATAATATCGGTTTCACCAGTACAGCGAGAAATTCCGACAGCTATAGTGGTTGAGTTCACCTCCGCGGATGGAATTAGAGGCGTAGTAGAGAGATCCTTCCGCTTATTGATTCCGCAGCTTCTGCTGCCACTCTACTCGACTCCGGCAGCAACGTCCGATTACGTGGCTCCTGCTGTGGCAGCCTACGACTTTGACCTGTAACATGCCAACGGCGATTAATGAGAAACGTTGAACTTTCATAACCGCCGCCTTGGAACTTGGCTTTAGGGAAATGAAAGAGGCTGCTGTTTTCGATATGAGTTAGACGCGTTTCGCATCAGAGAGATTGATTCATTTGCTTCGTGTTCCTCGCTTTGCAAACTCTTATTAGATTAGATTGAGTGACGAGTTTTTGTTATAACAATACATACATCCATGGTACTATCTAATTAACATCAAAGCTTCAGGCTTTACAATCGATTTGACTTAACGAGTTATGGAGATTCGATATTGTCTTAGCGACAATGTCACGTCGCTAATAGATTATCAATACTAAAGACAACGTTGTACATCACGTTAATTATTCATTGGTGAACGACCATATTCTGCAATGCGTAATTGTCGTATCAATTAACGTTATTAACCAAATGAAATTCATTAAGACTCCACAGTGGAAAACATTAATTAAGAACAACGTCCTTCTTTTGCAAGAAATTTAAGAATGAGTTCTCAATGCAATTTATATAACAAATAATCTTTTATTCCATAATTATTCAATGTTATTTCCACGCTAGAAATATTAAAGCAACGCGTACAATTCACTGAGCATATATCTAAGGAGAAAAAAGACCATTGCAATTGTCTTGTACAAATTTGTACGAGTAATTTGTGCCTGAGATGAAGTTAAACTTTTTGAGATGAGCAGCACGTATTTTCTTTTTGCCAAGTTTCACTGAGAGACTGAAGTGTTGTACACGTATCCCTTTGCGATTGGCAGATATCTCGATATATGACGAAAAAGGATATGTAACAATGTTGTTAGGTGCGTTACGACTTTTTTCCAATACACTAAATTGCATTTCATTACAATTCCCAGACTACTAGGCTGTCATTTAACTACCAGTCAAGTGAAATGAGTCGTGATGCTAATATATACTACAGGCGAATTCGTTAATTCACTAAGAAGCTCATACATCGCAGTCGCGACTACGAAAAGAAAGCAGGCCGCAAGTAGTAATCTTCCTCGGCTACGGAAATAAGGTCGAGCGCGCAAAAGCTTTAAGGTGTGCAAGCACATCTGACGCTCACGCGTGCATTTCGTTTCGAGTTAGCTGCTGCACGACCACTAACCGTTCAATTATCGTAACGCTTAGGCGTCGACTGCCACGTTGAGGACATAATTATAGGCTTTAATCGTGCAGCTCCTAAAACGCATAATTATGCCGTTCTGTTGTTACGACAACAACAATTGCCGGTCGCGTCGTCGAGCTGTGTCTGAGAGATTTTCAAAAGAGATTACACTGGTTATACGTGAAGTGCATACACGTACACGCTTAAACGGTCACGTTGTTTCAGAGGTGATATGATTTATCTGCCGATAAGGGATGCAAATGAAGTGATTTGCCGCTCGAATACAAGAAGATTTATATATCGTTCAGCTTTTGTAAAATAGCAAAATGAAGAGAATAAAATTTTAATTATACTTTTCATTGCGTGAATGACGATCCAAAAAGACACGATTTTCCATTGTATGAAAAGATCCCGTGGCATTGTGCCAGGAGCACAATAGCTTCTAAAAATGCAACAGTGAATTCAATAACGAATGCAAGGGCTTAAAAGTATTTGTACTCATACGAGTATAATTCGATGCGTAGACGGGTTAAAAATTATTGTTAATGATGAGAGCCGGAATAATTTTGAATACGCCGAATGAGTATATCGTACTTTTTGAATAAATATTTTTATTTAAATTTTTTAATAGTTTTATAGGGAGTTTTATTTAAATTAAATCCAATCCAGAATACAATGCGGCAATAGATGAAGGCATAAAGAAGCCTGTCGCGAAGAGGAATAATCCAATATAACCAAGTGGACACTATTAAATCTATAAATATAATAAAAAGACGGGAATTCTGAGATTTTACATAGTTTACAAAGTATTCGCGTGCCGCTCTAATTGCAGAGAGAGAACAACTTGTCAGTTCGCTGGCTCGAGCTCAAGAAGCCAAAGGTTTTCTTTTCTCCTTTTCGGTGCGTTCCGAGTACCCCACTATTCTGTTTCTTCCTCCATCGTCGAAACTTTTCCGGGGATACACATTTTTAATAGACCTTACGCACCGCCGGCTCACTAGTCACACCCACGCTGACCACCTCGTCAACCTGCATGATAATCCGTTCTTTCGCCTTCGCCATTTTCGTTTAGGGTGACTCTTGTTACCCGGAAGCAAATTTCATCACGAGGTCTATAACAAGCACGATGAAAGATGCCTAATTAGAAACAGACCCCGAAAAACCTAACCGAAGAAAGCGATATCGGTTAAAGACAGGCTCAAGCTCGTCTGCGGTACACGTGTGCGACGCCGTGCACTTTTCCAGTCGGCGGTCGCGTCTCTCTTCCGATGCGCTATAATTTACGTTTTAACAAATATCGTTCGATGAGCTAAGCTCGCATTCATTTTCGAGAGGGATAGAGTTCATTTCGCATTGAACGCACTGCGACTGAATTTACATTATCTACTGAAATGCCAGAGTCTTGTTTCTGCATCACTTGCTCATTCCCATTGTCGCGCGCGTTTTTATAGAAGTAGTAGCTTCGTAGTACACGCTTTTGCATTTCGAACATTGAAATAACGTTCGTCACAGACTATATATACGCCCACAGCTCGAGACATTTTTAACTCGCTTTGCTTGGTGTCATTTAAAAGATACATCCTAATATTTAGCTAATCTAACGAATAATACGATTTTTTCTCGCCCGAATATACGTATATATACAATGTCAGCTATGATCATATAACTTGTATGGTCACTATAAACAAAGGTTTTTTTAAATTCCGAGAATTTCTTTATAAAATAAGTACTCAGAAAATTTCAGAACTTAACTTTTTTCAACTACGAAATTGCAAAAATGATCTAAAAATAGATAGGTCTTATCGCTTGAATCGACAATAAAAAAAAAGATTGAACCATACGATTGTGCACGATAAAAGAAAAGTACAAAAGTTCTCAAGCTGACTGCATACTCAAAATAAGAATTTTTTTTATAGTCTGTGTGCCGATGGTTGCTGTGTTAAAGGACGAGAAAAAGTTAACATCGACAGAATAAAGTTGATCGGATCTAACACACATAATCGAGCACGTAGTAATACGATTCTCTCTCTCTTGAAGAGATGACTTCTGTTAAACAAGTTCCTTTTCGTTCGCTCGATCTCGATATGCCTACGCATAGTCACTTTTGGAAAATTGAACGAGAAAACTGCCTATATTTACGTCTCTTTCTATCTCTCTCTTTCTTTCTATCTACTGATCTAACGTGAAAGTGTTAGAGCAGTACTTCGAATAAATGTTTTAAGTCGCAATAAAACAGATTAGTATGGCGCAAAATGTGTTTTACCAGGCGTGTAAGAACTTATTATTGTCGGAAAGAACATTTTGTTTTCTTATCTCTCGGCAAACATTTTGAAATTGGAAAAACGTAATTACCACGAGCGTGGAACTTCAATATTCGGAGAAAAAGAAAAAACACAAAAGTCTTCTGAAACAATTGGATCCTTAACCCTCTTATTAGCACAAGCTTTGAACGGATATGAAGGGCTGTCAGTTGACCCAATTTCAAATTCTATTCTCTACATCGTAGGAGGGGGAAAACTTCATTCGATCTATTGAGTTCCAGTGAAGAAAAAACTGTATACGTGTTAATTAGATCGTTCGGAATATTTTTCTACCCAACAATCAATTTTCATTTACATATTCACAATTATTAGTTCTTTAATAAACGCTTTCAGTTCCGTGAAATGGAAAGAGAAAAAACGGAATTCAAAAGAGAAAAAATCAAAAGTAGGGGCAATTTTTCTCGTTTATTCTCTTCCTTAGCGCGAACCTACACTCCATTTGTTTCGAATATTCCCGACAGCTCCGCGAATACGAGAAAAATAAATGAGAACGCAAGGGAAACTTTGAATATATTACCCAAGAGAGAAAAAAAGGTATAAATAATCAAACGCTGCGCACAAAGACCTTTGTAGATGAGATAAAACAAATTATTGTAAACCAACGAGAACTAAAAAGTACATTTTCGAACAGGATCAGACTTGCGGTTACATACGAAAGTATCCATATACAGGATTTCTACTTTAGTGTCTTTCCATTGTTATATATAGTACCTTCCATTATTCTTTCGCGCGAGAGTGCTAATGCATGACCAGACGAGTAATTGCGTCGTAATGTTTGGAAGTGCAGTTCGGTCGTGAAATTCAAACAGCAATGATAGTAACTGTGAAATAAATACATGCACTGCGGTTCAGTAAACTGTTCTATATTTTGATTTAATTATTTATTCCCACCTTCAAAAATTATTTATATCATAAATTTTACGCGGTAAGCTTCCTTTGAGTCCACTATATTTTACATTTAAAAATTGAAAAATACTTGAATGTTATCACCACAATATTTCTCTCGAGTCAAAAAACAAAAGTACTGTTTTGAACTTATAGCATGTACCCTCGTAAAACACGTATTATTAAATACTGTTCTACTAATACCTTTCTTCGGAGCAACACACAATGAAGAATTCAAAACGTGATCGTAAAAAAATCCTTTTTTATATTATAGAAAAATGGCATCTCACGTCGTAAACTGACCGCGTGCGCGAGCAGCGTGGTCGTAAAAGAAAAAAGCAGCACACGGCATAAAATCAATTTACGAGGGATACTTTGCACAACATTCAATAGCAAAGAAATTTTTCGCTACTATACATTCATAATGATGCATCATACCGAGCGTATGTGAGCGTATTGTAGGCTAGAAGCTGATGTTTCAATAAGTCGATACGAATGTAGTTCGCTTGGCTATAGCTCGGGGAAACAAGCTCACCATCAACCTGCACTTCATCGCTGCTCTAGCTTTTATACAATTTTCGTTCTTCATCGCGAACCAGCTTGCTTGAACGTATCTATGTCTAAAATAGCGTGTCCGTTAACTGCGCGTGCCGTTACCTT